CCGATGTCGTCTTGCTCAGCCCACAACATTGCCCATCCTGACGAGGCAAGGGGAAGGAGTCCCTGAAAGGTTCTCCAGTGTTGCTGGACCTCATGATTGCCTTCATCAACATAATTGATGAGCTCATCCTCTTGCATGGGGTCCTCATGGCGATGACCAATCACCGATGCAAGTATAACCATGGCTGCTGCAGGTATTGTCCCTTCACCCAAAATTGCGAAAGCATCACTCTCGGGCTCAGGGAGGATGGTGTCGATCGGCAGCCCCATGGCACCCAGGGCTTCCCACTTGGAAATCAGTCGCACCACATCGGGCTGGGGCTCCAGTATTGCCATGTGGAGGCCTCTTGTCCGTAGCATGGGCCAAGGCAGACGTAGGAGTTCGCCGTGGGAAGCACCGAAGGGTGGCATCGGTTTGGACTGGTCCAGGAGGCGGATCTGCAAAGCCGAGCCTTGCCTGTGTTGCATGTACTTGGGTAGTAGTTCTCTGCAGTTCAGCTTTGTCAGGCTGGCACCTTTAACCCTGATCGCATCCAAGGTTGTTCCCGGCATGTTGCTCCAGATGACATCGTTGCAGGCCAGGTCGCCCCGATCTCCCAGTCTAATCATCCTGAAAGGCTTGCCCACAGAACCAGCATCAGCCGAGTTCCAGAAAACAGTGTAGTGCCTCCTCCGATGCAGGGGCACCATCTGGCATGGGTCCAGGTATCCCTCCCAGACCACAGTAAAACCAGCCCATCTCATCAGGTCTATCACCATGTTCTTGTCACTGTGGGTACCGTAGGCCACTGGCATCTCCAGGACAACAGCCCTCCTCTGTGTGAGGCGGCATATGAGGACAAAGCCCCACATACCACTCGTGGCTGGAACATCCGCAAAACCCAAGGACATCTCGCCCGCCAAGTAGGCCTTTCCCGGGGCGTTTGCACAGAAGAACTCGACGTTCTTTCCATGCATAGCTACCGTCCATCTCAAGTCCATCACATCCCCCCAGAAGAAGTCAAAGGGTGCTTGCGGGTCCTTGTCCGTAAAGAGCACTGCAGT